TCAAATCGCACATCGTTAAAACAACAATTACGATATTATCGCAGATGATATATATCGCACACCCCTAATGTGAACATAAACTATCTGCAAAGTTGTGAAGCCGACAGTGCCTTCTATGTATTGACAAGTATCCAGGGCTGTCATTCCGTCATGGCAATGTTTCGTTTCCGACGCGCTGTTCGCGGTAGACCAATCCAGAGCCAATCTGTCTACGGCTCTGGACCAATCACAAAGGACTGCGCCATCTGACCAATCACAGCAGTGAGGGCTCACGGAAAGGAGGGGTTTAGAGAGACTGATTCTTTGAAGTGCTTCGCCCGAGTCATTTACGAATAATGTAGAAATTAGGTAAAATTAAATCTATTTTTGGAGAAAACTAACGTGTTTTTTGACCTTGCATGCATGTAAACCTGTTTTAGGAGACTCATAAAACAATATTAGCAACCTTAAAAATGGCATAATAGGGGCACTTTAAACAAACACTCTGAAACACCACTTCCCAGTTCATTTTGCGCCTCAGAAAAGAACTGCATTCTGTTGCTGTTTTGGTCAAATTGAGGTGAAAATGAGCTTATGTGCTGTTTGTGTGTTTAAAACACTTAATTTCCAAAATATTGCAATAGTATTTATATTTCCAGTCAGTGGATTTGTGTTTTAGTAATACATGACACAAACCCTGAACTGACGGTGACAAATATAACATGTAATACTAGGCCTGTCGCAATAATCAATATATCAACTTATCGCACAATATGACTTCAATAATTTTTGGTGACGCAACATATCGCCCATTATATTTACTTAAAAAATTTATGTCACCATGTTTTGTACATTCCACTTGTGCCAGTGTCTTTTGCAGCTTCTCGTACATAACGTGGTGTAGTCATGAGGTGCTAGTTCAAATTAAAAAAATGCTTCTACAAAAAAAGTTTCATCAAGTTTGTGTTTTTCAGCAATAGTGTGCACCCTTAATTTACAGAGAAAAGAAGGTCAGGGAAAATCTGTAGATGGAAAAATCTCCAGACAAGACATTTTAAATTTTTTCTGCTTACTTTGCACTTTTTATTCAGGTTTTTTAAGGTATCTAATATTTTGATACTTAATTTCCATGATCTAAATATTCTTAAAAATTCAAAGTTTGTTGTCATTTGGAAGTGTGTAGGCCTTATTGCATTATTATGCTGTTGCGTTATGATTATATAGTCAGTGGCATAAAATGGTCTTTAAAATGACAATAATATCGCTTATCGCAATTATTTCTGGGGCAATATATCGCACAACAAAAAGTTGTTATCGTGACAGGCCTATGTAATACAAATAATAATCCCAAATATCCATCAGTGATGTAACAGGACACAGCTTCAGCATCACTGCAGTGAGAATTTGTGAGTGATAATTCAAAAGAAAAAACTTAAAATAAAATAATAAAAATGTATAAATTAAATTAAAAAATAAATAAATACACACTACTATTCAAATTTTTGGGTCAGTAATATGTTTCTTATGCTCAACAAGGAAGCATTTATTTGATCAAAGCTTTTTTCAGGATTCTTTGATGAAACAAAGTTTGGAGAACAGCATTTATTTAAAAAAAAAACATTTTAATTGTCTTTACTGTCATTTTTTTTTCTTTTTAGAATAACATGCTCAAATAAATCATTCAAAATAACACCAGGAACGTGTGTTGAGAAAGTAAACAGTGAATTTTGATTCAACCTTAACTAAAGTCAGAATCAAACAAAGTATCGACAGATCTTTTCTTCCATATTGTGATGTACATCCGAGTGAAACGGTTTAGTGAAAAAGAAAAAATGTACGACGGGGACCTGGTTCTCTGCATCGGTTGTTGATTTGATGGAAGCGGATAAGCTGAATGTGAGCTTGCAGTGGATAAAGAGTCGGGGCTTAAGCAAAATAAATGATTGGAAAAGCCAATCACCAGAGAAAAGTCTTTGTCATTTTACCGGAAGGTCAAATTAGGTTATTTCAGTTAACTCTTTCCCTGCCAAACACAGAATTTTCCAGGTTTCCGTGTTTTCACTGTTATACACTCGGGGGCGCTATTACGCATCTCCTGAATGAGTCCAGAATCTCTCGATCAAAAAATGTAATGAAGACGCAGAAACGAGCGATCTCATATGTAAGCAGATGCATATGAAAAATAATACGATCATCAACAATAAACAGCATATAAATGAAAACTGCCTAAAGTTACACAGTGAAATGTCAATCCCGGAAGTAGTAAAGGACTGTGAAGCTTTAGGGGTGTTGATGGAAGCGATCTACTGCATCTTTGCTTTGATCATCGAACTGAATATGATCCAGATGTAGTATTTGATAAAAAAAAAAAAAGAATGCTTGAAGCTGGAATAAAACAGATTTTTTTTTTTTAAAGTAGAGGCTCTGATCTTTATTTTGATGTATGTTCAGATATTTATACAAAAAATATTCTGGGGGCCATGAAATATTATTTAAAATGATAAAAAATGCTGGCGGTGGCTGGCAACTAACCCTATAACGCTGGCAGGGAAACCGTGAATCGTTACATTAAGATCAATAACTTGCATTTAGAAAATCATGTTTCATTTAATGTTTATGGTAGATATTGCCATGGTAGCATAAGTTTGTTGTTTCCCCAAGTGACAGAAAACAGGAAACTTGCCTCCTAACACACTGAGAATCTTCCTGTTTGAGAAAACAGTCTTACTCTGTGTTTTATCAGTTGTTACTGTGGCAGCAGATCATTGCAAACACAAGGCACAGGTGTTTCACAGTGGCATGTGTACAAATCATTAACACCACCACAAACCATGGCAACATAACACTTCAAGATGAACTGAACCATGCAAGAACACCTGTACTGTCCTTCAAACAAGTATGAAAGAAATATACGAAATTTGAAATCTGGTTACTTTTTTTCCCCTTTAAATTCATTTAATGTTTCATTAGGTTTGTCAGTAGGCTTAAAATGTAAGCATGTTGAAAACTCTGTAATCTTATTTCAATCTGCATACTTGTCATTCTTTACAATCAAACCATGAGTCACAGATTAATGTGGACTAATGTCCACTGATGTTTCCTAGTTGTTGCCAGCAGTGTTTGTTTAGATCCCAGCGGCGCAGTGGTTGAGTTTATGGGCTGATTTGATTAGACGTTCATAATAGTCATGTACTCCCAAAAGTATTCCTATAATAGTTCTCTGTTTCTAACCATATAAGGACCTTCGACCTCGTCTACAACCTCGCTCTGTGTGAATTGTGCTGTTTACATCCGTGCCGTAGTCCTCTCTTTAGTCCTCACCACATGTTTTAGTAATCAGACTTGAAAAAGCTTCACAAATCTTCAGTCTTCGGATGTGAGCGATTCAGAGCTGCACTGTTAACTGACACCTAGAGCAGATGGCACGTTCAGATGAATTGTGGGTAGTGAACAGTAGAAAGCTTTGGTGAATTGGCAGCAAACATGGGTGACGCACTGGAGAGGGAGAATTTCCACACTAAAAAGCCAAAGACATTTAGGAAAATAATAAAACACTCATGCACGCGGACGTTTTATACATCTTATACAAGATGCAACTGAACAAGTTACGGATTGTTTTAAGCAAATTAATACTACTGGAGGCATATGGACAGAACATATGAAACTACTTTTGAATGCCTGTTTTATTAAAACATGTTAGAAAGTACACTGGCCTCAAAAGGTATTTGGACACTTAAACCACATTTAAATGTCATTGCATTAGAGACAAGATACAACTGAACAAGTTACGGATTTTTTAATATAATATGACTATATAAATTGCAAATTACTACTAATGGAAGCATATGAACAGAAAACCAAAATAGAATATTTTATACAATATAAAACTACTTTTGAATGACTGTCAATGAAGCAGGGCCATTATAGATTTGAATTTTAAAGTTAGTCTTTTTTCATTTACATTTAGATTAGTTGTTCTTAGTTTTCAATCTGTCATTGTTAGTTTTAGTTTCGTTTTTTCAGACTTTTCTAGTTTTAGTATTTTAGGGCTGCCAAAGTTTATTGGTTTTATTAAAAATGTTTAACAGCTGTGTTAAACATTAATTTCTTAGCACAGTCTAGTGTTATTGCCGTCTAGTGGCATTTTCATGTTTAATGTAGGCCGTTTGTAATGGTTTCAAGTTTTAGAATGTATCAGAAATTACAAATTAATTTGTGGCCATTTTTGTTTTATTTTAAATCATTTGGGAATCGTGTCATTTGATTTTAGTTTCAGTTTAGAGTACATTTGGAAGATGTACTTAAGTTTTTCAGTTATGTTTTTTTTTTCAGTTAATGAAAAATGTTGTCATTTAATTTTTTTTGTTAAAGTCAGCATGAAATGAACATGCAGAAATATGTATCTGTTTTGTATATGCATGTTATAGATGTTATTATGAACAATGCATCCATGTTTGTTTCAACTTGTTTGTTCCTTTTAATGTTTAAATGATCTTCCGGTGAAAATGACAAACTTCTCTCTGGTGACGATCTCCAATCAATCAACTTAAACTCGTTCCTGCACAATCAACAGAAGATATGGAATACAGAAAAAGATCTGGGTCTCACTTTAGTTTGGGGACCAATTCTCACTATTAGCTATGACTTTTGCCTCAATAAACTCCTAATTTGCTGCTTATTGATAGTAAGTTAGCTGTTAAGTTTAGGTATGGGGTCGGATTAAGGGATGTCATGCAGAATAAGGCATTAATATGTGCTTTATAAGTACTAATAAACAGCCAATATGCTAGTAATATGCATGCTAATAAACAACTAGTTGGCAGTGAGAATTGGACATTAACTAAAGTGTTACCAAGATCTGTCACTTCTTCCCTTTTATTGTGACTTTAACAATAATAATATTGCAATAGAGAAACATGCAGAACTGTATAAATACGGTATCTATCAACAAGGGCTAACTGCTAATGCTAACCAGCTAAACCTTGACCCCCGATCAAAACCACGTTCACACCCCTTACCCACTTCTACACTGATGCAATCGAGTTTCTTTTAAGTTGTTAAACTGCATGTCTGTCTGTTTTCTGTAGCTCCTCAGTTTCATCATCCTTATCTGTTACGCCGCGTCAATGTATGGCGGGTATTCAGCGGTGGCCATCTGTGAGATGGTCTTTGCCATCATCTTCTTCATTGTCTTCATGATGGAGCTGGACAAACAGTTCCTGGTGGTGAACTGGCTCTGGAGCGTGAGTATGAATTCACTCACACTCTTGCATCGTGGTCCAGCCTAGCATTGCGGTGGCGAGTTTTACACTCTTTCATTTTCTCTGATTGTCCCTTCAGGATCTCTTCCGCGCTGTAATCGGTGCAGCACTTTATCTCATTACCTCTCTCATCTGTGTGATCGGCGGATCTGGGGACGGGGCTCGCATCGCTGGTGGGGTGAGACATCTAACGTTCAGCATCAAATGCATGCTATATTTATATTTTTATGATCAAATCGGATCTATTAGTGCTTTATATCCTCCTCTGATTTTTGCACTACTGGCATCTGTTCATAATAACGCTCACTTTTTCTCGCAGGTGTTCGGTCTGGTGGCTGGGATCTTGTTTGCTTATGATTGCTACACAATCTTCTTGGACATCAAGAGCGGCAGACAGCATACAGCTGCTCCCACAGGTGCATGAACACATTCATTTATTAAAACATGTTAGAAAGTTCACTGGCCTCAAATGTTATTTGGACACTTAAACCTCATTTAAATGCCATTGCATTAGATATCAAATATCAAATCAAGCGTCAGCAGATTTTTAGTGGATATACTGTGTCAGCTCTCCAAAAATGAAAATTTGCTGAAAATGTACTCACCCTCAGGCCATCCAAGATGTAGATTAGTTTATTTCTTTTTTTTTATCACCAATGGATCCTCTGCAGTGAATGGGTGCCGTCAGAATGAGAGTCCAAACAGCTGATAAAAACATCACAATAATCCACAAGTAATCTACACCACTCCAGTCCATCAGTTAACATCTTGTGAAGTGAAAGCTGCTTGAATGTTTGTAAGAAACAAGTCCATCATTAATGTGTTTTAACTTTAGAGAAATGTAGCATTGCATCACTTGCTCAGCAATGGATGCTCTGCAGTGAATGGGTGCCGTCAGAATGAGAGTCCAAACAGCTGATAAAAACATCACAATAATCCACAAGTAATCCACACCACTCCAGTCCATCAGTTAATGTCTTAAATAATTAATTTAATAATAATTAAATAATTTATGCATTTAGCAGACGCTTTTATCCAAAGCATTCAGGCTATACATTTTTTACCACTGTGTCTTGTGAAGCCAAAAGCTGTGTGTTTGTAAGAAACAAACACATCATTAAAGCGTTTTAACTTTAAACCATTGCTTGTGGCCAAAATATGAGTCCATAATCCATAATAACGCTTCCTCCTTTAAAATCCATCCATCCACTGTTGTCCTTTCACATCAAAATCAACTGGCATGTTTCTTTAGAACTGTTATGGACTGTTTTCACTTGTAAACGGTGCTTGATTGGAGCATATTTCTCACCGGATTCAGATGAGATGACTCTTTCACTGGAAAAAGCAGTATTGTAGATAGAGGACTCATATTGTAGCCAGAAGCAGTGGTTTGAAGTTAAATACGTCTTGATGGGTTTGTTTCTTACAAAAATGCAGCTTTTGGCTACATAAGATGTTAATTGATGGACTAGAGTGGTGTGGATTACTTGTGGATTATTGTGATGTTTTTATCAGCTGTTTGGACTCTCATTCTGACGGCACCCGTTCACTGCAGAGCATCCATTGTTGTGAACTATTCCTTTAAGTTTACACAGGCGTCCTAGTGGAGTCTCCTACTGAACATCTCTTCATGTTCAGTATTTCTAATATTTCAATACCTAATCGAAAAATTTCTTGTTGTGAAATGTTTGACCTGAAACGTGTTCTTCCATCTTTCTATGAAATAAAAGCTCCTTGGTTTGATATTTTATCTAATGCAGTGACATTCATATATTTTATGTATCCTAATTCTTTATAGGGCCATTGTATGGACAGTATGCACTGAAGGAACATGACTAATTTCGTAAAACTAATTATTGAGACCTTAAAAATATTTTGAACCCCAATTAACCATTCTAAAAGAGAGGTGATATTTTAAGATGAATATGTGGAGGAATTAACATATAAGTCAGATTTATTTATAGGTAGATACATGTCTAATTAATAATAGTTTACTTCATAGTTTTATTGCTTTTTATTATTTTATTAAATTGCATTGAATTCCAAGATGTTTTTCCTTTAAGTGGGAAAATCAAAAAAAAAAATCTCATGTTTAAATTTCAATGTTATTAAATTTTTGAGTTATCTAAATATGAAAAAGAATCTTGTCTTACAGTAACATTCTAGGTTTAGTACAAGTTAATACTTCAGCGCTTCAGTCTGCATAAACAAAAACCATGTGTACAGTAAAGCACTTCCGTTAGATTTGTGTTTGTTTTTACAAACTGAGGGATGTGTTAACTGACAACACATCAACAGATGCCATCCATTTGTTCCTTTAACAAACTGTGACTTGAATGAAATGAAATGAAAACACATTTTCAATTAAACCTGAGAGTTTTCTGTCCCTCCACCGAAAGTCCATTACACCAAAACCTGATGAACAGATTTCATTTAGGCTTTCACTCACAGATAAAGATTGACAGATGCATATACAGAAGCTCAAACATACTTGCTTAATGCATGGGAATCAATGAGGTTTGTTTTTGCATCATAAAGACAGGTTTGATTTGAACTGGAGGTGACACGTGTTGTAACTCTCTTTGAACAGGTCGCTGAAGGCCGTCTGTGGGATGTTTACGACTGACATTTGGCATTTGAGCCAAACAGTTATTCTGACAGAGACGCCAGTGGCAACACTGGTATCTCACCGAAAGCTATGCCGTTTTACACGTCCGCTCTTAATGCTGTGTAACTATAACAACTTAACCTGACTAACTATTCCCCACTTATTTATTTTGCGTCTCCCTTTTTGTTTGCTCTCTTTGTTTTTTAACAGATGACACAGTTTGAATCTACCTTCCTCACTACAACATTAACAGCCACCAAAACATGGAGGACAAGTCTAGAAACGGCAAAAGGAATGAATTCCTGAGAGTTATCGCAAAGTTACCATGAGAGATGAAGACCAGAGGAATGCAAAAGGGACAAAACTTTACACAACACAAGAGGTTTATGTATAAAGGGATTTAAAAGTGAGATTAAAGAAACACCATATATGAAGGAACAGAAAGCTGTTGGCATCCAAGGATCCATTACCGTCGTCTTGGTCAGGCGGCTTTTGTTACCACAATTTATTTGTTGGCTTTGGTGGTTACAAAAGCACTATCACAACATTTAATAAGAGATAGGGCTAATAAAATCGTCAGATAAAACAAAGTTCAAAGTCAGTCCGTCTTCCCATTCTTTACTAGACAAAGACACATTTTGACCAAGTGATTTTAAACAAAGTGATTATTAATAAGTTGTGTTGGAAACTTGATTTAATTCAGTCTGGTGCTGTTTTTTTATGATGAAGCATGAAGGTTGCATAGGTTTGTTATGGGGTAAAATTTCAGTGTAATTCGTAACTGAAGCTAAATTCTAATAACTATTGATCGTTCTTGTGTTTTGTGCTTTAAAAAAGTTCGTTGTATAAGGTTAATCAAACAGGATTTGAGTCGGATATATCCAACTCAGGTGCGGTCAAGAAAAAGTCACACATTTAAAGGGATTTTCTCTTTCTTTAAACTGAAAAGGAATGAATCTCAACCCTAATATATTCCATGGTGGCACAGATTTGTACAGTAAAAAGTTTTAATGTCCATGTGTTTGGTACAATATGTTCATTTTCATTCATTGCCATTAAACCTGTTACCTCAAGAGTTGCTCAATATCTTGATGCCATAAGTATTTTTTGTTATGATTCTAATAATAAACTGATCACATATATTAATATATCTTCATTTACAGCCTCTATAGTTCAACCCTACTGAGGAATGTAGAGTAAGAAATACTAAAATAGCACTCGCAGTTTGTCAGCATTCATGATTTCCCAAGAAAATATTATGAATAAATATCTGTTCGCTAAGACTTTTTTTTTTGACGTGCATTAAAAGAGATTATTCAGAAGTATTTGAACCTCCAGTTATTCAAACGTGCTGTCAGAAGCTTGTCTAAGTCAGAGATTCATAAATCTGCAGTTTTAGTAAGACTCAATAATTTGGCCTGTTTTTTTTTTTAATCCATTTATAACATGTTTAAATTGTTGTAACCATTTATGAATGATATATTCCAATGTACGAAGACTGCCTGATTTTTCCTCTCATGTCTGTATTGTTTTTGCACCCTCAGCTCCACTCCAATGACTTCCTGAAAGCATTTATTTGTGAGATGGTTCTATAAAAAATGATAAACTCAGGATGTTCTGCTCTTTTTTTAAACGGACACTTTTAAAGAAACTGTTTATTGGATGTTTTTGGTTTTACAAGTACAGCATGTGGAAATAATTCTGCAGAATTTGTCTCTTTTTAACAGATGTGGCTGGTATTTGGATAACATTTAATAAAAGGCTGTTACAACGTGTTGAACTGCTACAAGTGTGCGTGTGTGCGCCCTTGCACCTCACTGAAGACACTGCATGAAGGACACGGTGCGCGCAGCGCCACCTGCTGGCGTGAAACCAATCATTTAGACTGCAAATAATATCACAAATTTACTTCATATTAAAAATATTTGCATAACTATTTTTTTACATTTAACATTTAAAAAAAAAGAGTTGCTATATTCAACGATAGACGGTTGGTTAGTCCAGGTGACTTGAATATTTGTCACTAGATGGCAGCATCTACATTCACTAGAGACAATCTTATTCTGTGGAGTTTTTTTTAAAGAGGTTAAGTCTTAGGTTTTTAAGAAACTGATGTATGTATTAGTTTTATTATGTAATGAATTAATTAATGCATTAAATAAATAAATGGCGAAAAGTTAAGAATGATTTTTTGTTTTGTAAAGCAATGGTTTCTAGAAAAAAAATCTTGAGTCTTAAATATTTCGATATAGGCTACTCTACACATACAACAGTTCATGTAACAGTTTCTTAGCAGACTGAAGTAATGGCTGATGAACATTTTAGGTAGGTCTATAACTAATTTTTAAATAAATAAAATTACCAATGAATAATATGTAATGATGTACATAAAAAAATTTACAATTTACAAAAAAGTTATTGATAAAACTGAGAGGGAGCATTCTGATAGGTTAATATTTCACTGTTTGCAACTTCATGAAGGTAAATAACCAGATGATTTGTTCATTTTCAAATAACTTCTCCATTCAAAAATGAATGATCTGGCTGTATACTGTAAGTAGCCCATGTAGCAAAACAAGTTATGAACTTTACAATCACAATATTATTAGATAGATGGATGGATGGATAGATGGATGGATGGATGGATGGATGGATGGATGGATGGATGGATGGATAGATAGATAGATAGATATAGACAGAGACAGAGACAGATAGATAGAAAGATAGATAGATAGATATAGACAGAGACAGATAGATAGATAG